AAAAATTCCGGAAACTGAGTGTAGAAAAGATAAAAGCGGGCATTTTCGATGGGCCACATATAAGATTATTAATAAAAGACACAAAATTTACGGACACTATGACAGAAATTGAAAGAAACGCATGGAATGAGTTTGTTTGGCTTGTTCAACATTTTTTGGGAACTACACAGAACACGAGGCAAATGACCTTAGTAGTCGATGCCGATGACACCAAATTAAAAAAAAATTGTAACTATTCTCAACACGTTGAACAACTAATGAGTCACTTTCAAACCCTTGTATGTAACATGAGCATAAGTTGCACTTTCTTCACAACCACCTAGATTATTTTCCTACTAATCTTGGGAATCTAAGAGAAGAACAGGGCGAGCGATTCCACCAGAACCTTCGTACGATGGAGGAACGGTATCAAGGCTACTGGAATGCCCACATGATGGCTGACTATTGTTAGAGCATTCAGAACAGTTCTATGGGTTCAACCTCTGTAAGGAAGTCTTATAAAAGAAAGTTTTTTTCACATTAAGAACTAAATAAAATATGATTAACTTTAAACAAATTGTGTTTTACTATGAAACGGCATGTGTCATATTTTCTAAACTAGAGCTAATACAGAAATTTAGATTACAGATTTGAAGTCTTCATTAAAAATTAAGCTAGTGTCATGTAATATAACTCAATCTTCAGAAATGCTGTTGTGCAGTGTTATATTTGCAAAAATAACTTCACTTCGTTTAGCGTTTAGTTGATTCTGCGTATTTTTAATTTGAGATACAGTTATTTATATCTAAAGAACGTTTCTGCAATACATCAAAAAGTACATCGCTGATGGAAAACATTCTGTTAAAACTGATAACTAGAAGAACAAATTCAAGTCATTAAACATATTTACGTAGTTCTGGCTCTATATTATTGAAGCCTGATCAAAATTTGGGTCGTTTAAATTGTTTTTAAAAACTTGTTTTAGAGAATTCCAATTTTTATGAATAAGACTCAAAATCTTAGAATTAGATGACTATTTTGTAACTACTAAAGTGGGTATTCGCTTATTGAGGATTACATCGGTGGCGTGAGTTCTTTTTGCTGAATGATGAAAAAAGAAGGCATACCATTCACATTAGCAAAAAATATACGGCACTTCGAAATGCTGTTACAGCTTTGAGACAGAACTAAATTCAGACGGTGCGCCAAACAATGAACGATAATCGCCTCTGGTGCTACTTCCTTAATCTTCGATTGTAAACCATTTAATTGTCCTGACATAACACTTGCGCCGTTATAACATTGTCTAAGTTTTGATTTGTAGTCATATTTTTCTAGACAACTTGTAACTAGGGTAAACAATGCTGTTCGATCAGAACTTACATCATGTAATCACAAAAATCTTTCAACTAGCTTACCTAATTATTATGCTACATTGAGATTTTTGAGCAATATCTGTTGAGTCGTCTACTTGAATGGAAAAAAATTACGATAATTTAATTCCATTTCAATATATTTGTCAATATATTGGGAAGTACAGTTTATTAATTTATTTTGAATTATTTTAGAATTTGCGAAATATTTTTATAGTGTTCTTGAATCTCTATAGAACTAAGTGAGATATACGAATCTATAAGTTCCTTAAAATTACGTTTTCGGAAGATTTATCTTCATTATGACCACGAAATGCCAATTCTTGTTTTCCTAGAAAAAGAACTGCCCGAATTGGCAACTGCATAAAACGTCTGTTAAGACGCACTTTTTCATTAAATTGTTTTATATATAGCCTAGAGTTTTCTTTTAAAGCGTCTTCAATAGTATTTAATTTTTTTTAGTTCTGTAAACCTTATTGCACAACCCAAATAGCATAGAGAGTCATAATTACTATTACTTTAGTATTTATTACTTTAATTTAGTAAATATGTAGTAGCTACAACTATAAATGCCTGTTTAATGTAACAATTACTTTATATTCCTAATGATACAGTCACTTAAACGTAACAGTTATTGTCAGTGTGTCTGTTGTAGTTATGGTTATACATACACCCATAACGAAGTTACAATAACCGAAAATTTACTTAAAAAATGTACTTAAAGTAATTTTTACTTTAAAGTCACCATTTTATAGTAGCGGAAACCATAAAAGTTACTAAAATGCGACTACAAAGTAATAATTGGAACTTAACTGGGTGCTTCATTGTAACTTTATATTTATAGTAGCATGTTATCACTTTATAGTAACTTCGGCATAGTTGCAAAATTGACTTTATAGTCGCATTTTCTTTAATTGACAATATTTTGAGTTAAGAGTTACTAAAGACAAAGGCAAAATTACTTTGAAGTGATAGTATTATCTTTCATAGTCACAACTTATAATTCGGCCATATATTTTAGGTGAAATAAGATATGCATTTTTTTAACATAAAAAATTGATTAATTTAAAATTTTCATTGGTTTAAAATAAATTCAGCATTCAAAAAGTTGAAATTATTATCAACTTGGGACTATGTGAGTGCTTAATATCACTTTTTATTTTAATATTATTATTTTATTATCTTTTTTTTATGAAAATCCTAAAATTTGGGTGGCGCTTTTATTTTTTCGAAGTATTTTAACATTTTACTCAGTAAACTACTATTTGTTAAACAAATATATCCCCAAATAGCTTTAAACACACTATTATAAAAGTATAATATCATACCTACTATATTATTACTTTCAAGTAACAAAGTCAACCACTGGCCTCGCCATCTATCATAATATCTTTTAAACAAGACTTTAAATAAAAATTAAATTCATACATATTTAAACGAGAGAGTCAGGACACGCTCACGTCCAATTGAGATGAAGCAGTTACTATGTTACGTAGCAATAACCAGGCTGCCACTACTTTGTGACTTTAATAATAGTGGCGGTTGAAGTTCCAATAACTAGCCTGGAACTACTTGGTTACCTGAAAATCATTCCCCACTTTGGTAACTATTACATAGCAGCTTAGTAACTAGGTGGTAGCGGTGGATGGTCGCCGTAACCTTTGTAGTTACTAGGTTGGTAGTGGTTACGTCTTCGTAACTATAAATGTTAGCTGGAAACGTATATATTCACATGATGATTCATGTTTATGTAGGCCGCGAGTTACGTTCCCAAAATCACTAAAACCATTTTCATTCCATACATTTGATTTTACACCTACTATCAAACAGGGTACGCAAAAAAGCTTGTTTAAGTAAAAACTACCACACAACCATTTACATTCGGAATACCACTTTTCCGAAAATTTCGCACAAACACTTTGTCTTTTGCTTTCATTTAGTAGAGGATCTGGTTTTGGCGAATTTAAAAAGTATTTGTTATCCTCACTTCCCCATCTACAGAATGTCATCTCCAATACTGGATCATGTACTGGAAACATTGTTAGAAAAATCGAAAAAACTCGCAATAGTCGCAATTGACCAACCAGTCCAACCACTGTATAAAAATAGTCCCGACCGGAAGAAGCAAACTAAATCAACGCGTCAATTGCATTAATCGGCTAGAACGAAACGTGCCGTTACCATGGCAACCATCATAAACGCGCAGATAGAAGAGACGCGTGTTCGGCGGTTTTATGCATAGCGCGTCAAGCGCTCCGTTCGCTCGGATTAGGAAATCTTTCTATTGTATTATATTTCCAAAAACAAGCGAGCCCTTACGGTCGGATTTTTTTTATCAAGCGCCTCGTTTGTTTCATGCAGTGGTCCAGATACCCCGAAATTAGGTACAGTTTTGGAAGTTTCCGTTTTGTAATTTGTATAGAGACAAAAATGCAGGGCATTTTGTTACAGAAAAAGAAATATTTAGCTATTCAGTTGATTTTTTTATTAATATCTACTGAAATTTTGGTGAAGCAGCGCATCACCTGCGTCATCTAGAGAGCCACCACTGTTAGGATCGTTTTTGAAAATCAGAAAAAGTATTGCTTCCTAAAATTTATACACATAACGTTTATATAATCGATAACTAAGTTTAAATACATTAATAATGAACATAATTGGAAACCTAATCAGCTCGAAAGCCGAACTCTGCAAATACTTGTATAACGAATTTAATTTGAACCGGAACCTAAACATGTTCCTTTTGTTATACACTGTACTAGCACCTAAAATCTGATCTGCAATATTGATCCAGTTTAATTAGTGACAACTTATAATTGAAGGAAGTATGGAATATGTTTCATATTATGAAGTTACTCTCACAAGCAGAGCAGCGGATCAAAGTCACTTATTTTGGAGTGAGTATTTAATTTGCGATCTTTAGTGGTACACATTTAAAATAATGATATGAAGGGCTTATTGGAATAACATGACAAGCCACAACATTAATTTATTGAGGAAAGACACATCTTCAAAAGTTAAAATAAACTTCTAAAACTACTACAACTTTGTTAAAATGCAATAATTTTTCGACTAATGATGATAATTGTTGGAGAATTTCCATTTGGTTTATGGCTTTTGTAACCTTAATTTTTATTGTCGTGAAGTAAAAATGCCCTTATTAATAAGTGTGACTTGTCACGTTTTTACAATTTGTTAACCAAGCAGTGTGATTTATTTTGTAATTTTCAGTGGTTCTGGAAACTTTGTAATAAAGTCAAATACTGCTAACATGGGTAATAGCAATAAATATGTTTTTGTTGTCTTATCTAATGTTCCATAAGGATCCCATTCAGAACATCTTTTTACTGATTCCATAAACGAAATTATGTTATGTCCAGTTTTTCTTATATAGCTGAGATGGCTGTTATCTATAAACAATTATTGCTGTCATGTCAGTGTGCTTGTGTCAAATAAATTTAATTATTGTTTTTCGGTTTTTTCTCTTATTTAATTAAAAATACTTTACAATAGTAATATTAAGAAAGTTTATTATCATTTATCATAATATTTGAAATATTTAAAAAAGTTCTATTTTTTATTGTATTTTTGAAAAACGTTTTTTGGTTACTTAATTGATATTTATACTTTTTATCTATTTGCTTTTAGGGTGCGGATATTTGGTCGATGGGGGTTACTCTCTACGCATTTGTCTACGGTCAAGTGCCATTTTTCGATAATAATATAGTAGGATTATACTCAAAGATTAGGAGCCAACCAGTCGTCTTTCCAGAATCACCTTCCATCAGTGACAATCTCAAAGATCTCATCAAGAAGATGCTTGTGAAGGAACCAACCCAAAGAATAACTTTGCCCGAAATAAAGGTAAACAATTTCAATAATTCATCTCCCAATAGAAAAAGTTTTTAAGCAATAAAATATGATTTTTGTAAAAAACAACTTGCATATCTATCATCTGTCAAAATAGTCTATACGATTTTTCTTGTCTAGGTGCATCCATGGGTGACTCGACATGGACAATATTCGCTTCCATCGGAAGAGGAAAATTGTGATTTGGTCGAAGTGACTGAAGAGGAAGTAGCTAAAGTTATTACTTCGATTCCGAAGTTAGACACTTTAATTTTAATCAAACACATGCTCAAGAAACACTCCTTCCAGGTATTATTGCACCAATTTTTTTTAAATCGTTATATATATTTATAAATTATTCATTTCACCCTGTATATTTTAATCTCATGATTTCAAGGTCAACGTTGCTATGCTTCCCCAATCACTGGATAAAATTTTGTTTTTCTTTCATTTTACTTATACATTATGCCAAAATCACTAAGGTTGAGAATTTGCTTTGCCACTTAATAAAGTAAGGAACAGAGCAGAGTGAGACATGAACGAGTTACACAAAATGGCATTTTGTAACGTGTTCCATACAATATTTTTTCTAATTTTGACTAGATTATTTATAAAAATGTGTTTTGGTAAAAAATTATTAATATCTATGCAACCAATATTACTTTCTTGTATTGATAGTTGTATGTGCATAACTTCGTCCAATCAAGATTCATTTGAGGCTCGGAACATCCATAGCCACATTCGGACGTCCGTTTATGAACATTAATTTGACAGCTACATATCGATACCCAGTGGACGCCCGTTTATGGACATACGTTTAAATTAAGTAAACATTTTCCTCACTCGACCATTCACTGTTGGGTTCTAATTAACAGTGCTGTTCCTAAAGTGGCGCTGGGAAACAGTAACAAAGCCTACACAGAACACGAGGCTAATGGCCGTAGTAGTCGACGCCGATGACACCAAATAAAAAAAAAAGTAAACATTTAGTAGTATTTTGAGATCTTGGTCACTAGATAATACCTATACACACTTTCTTTTCTTTCAGAAATATAATTGATCATTTAAAAAAATGAATATATTGCATTTAATTCCACCAGCTGAAGTTTGAGATCTTTTAGAGATGGGTTGCTATTTCACAGTAGCAGGTTTTGTCACTCCTTTTTACTTGAGCAAAGTGCTCCACGCCTCACCGAAAAGGTGTTACTTTTCGTAGCAGGTTCCGAGTAGAGACAAAACGATATACGTTCTTATTCTACCAAAGACGAAATTTATAATATTTATTTTGGCCCTGGCTGTAAGGTGCATTTAGTCAGTTCCAAGCAATCTTCAAGAAAAGAAAATAATAAAATTTGTTTTGTACGAAATTATTATCTCTATAGTCATTAATTTATAGATTTTACTAAACCCACATAGCCATAACAAACTTATTGCTATCGCATGTGTGAAATATAAAAATATCTAAAAGCTGCTCCGAAAAATAGCAGTATTTTATCACTGCTTTTTTGTCGTAGCAGAATAAGCGGTTGTCACTGCTCCTTAAAAATCGCTTACTTTACCCATCTCTAAATCTTATTAGACTATTAGAATTGTATCCAATAACATTTAAGATGCTTTCTTTCCTCAAAGAAAGTGATACTTACTTTTGACGCCCTACTATTGTAGAATCCTCGGGCGCCAGATTTATTTAGGTGGTTTGCTCCATAACCCTTCGATCCAGCTTGCTAAGGGGCTCAGGCAACTTTAGTTGAAGATAACGTAAAAATTTCAGGGGCCAACATTGGTAATAGCCTAATTTTAAATTAGAATATCAATACGGGGCTTTAATAGGGATTGATACGTCGGCGTCGTAGAATTTCCGGAAGCTGAAAAGAGCTAAAGCGGGTTGTTCACGGTTCAAGAATCGCAATATAAGCCAATCGGGTAAAATTTATATATATATTATTGTTTACCAATACTATTTGCAACAATTTATTTCAAAGCCCACCCCTTTGTAACCCTGATCATAGTAAATTAAAGAAAATGTTCGATCAGCAAAAAGGAAAAATAATATAGATAAATCGACATGGAAGGGGACCTCATGAAAAAAAATGAATCGGGGAAAATAAACAACTCAATAACTCATTAATTCGGTGCCAAATATACCAGGTGAAAGAATTTAGTATGTCTTAATTCTTGCAAAAAAATTCCAAACCTATGTTACTGATTAATTATTCGACAACATGTAAGGGCTCATATATAATCGATGGAAACTTGACAAATGGAATTAACACTAGGGCTAAATAGGTTTATTAAAAACAAATGATTGTTAAATGTCTCTGCAGACAAACGTGTATACCGCACATACTTTGATTACTATACGAGGCAAGAGATAGGCCCGACACGCCCAACATAGGGCGTGGCCATTTTGAACCCTGTGACACAGTTTACAGCTAAAGAATCAGATCGCTCACTCTGCGTCGGCACTTTGGATCTCAATGTTTCAGTTTATACACTGTGCAACTCGGATGATACAATATATGACAACCGCCTATAATAAGACAGCAGTCTTCTGCGTATCCTGAATTTGTATCATTGGAGAGGATATTATTTTGGAACTTTCAATTGGTCCGAGTGAGCTAACTGATTCTTTAGCAATAAACTGTGACTTCAAAAATAATATTCACTGACACTGACAGCAGCAAGCAAAATATCAGGTGCGTTTTAATCATCCGCTTCTGCTTTCGGAATTGTCGGTTTAGTCGTTTTAACCTGTCAGATTAAAACAAGAAAACTGACAATTCCGAAGCAGAAGCGGATGATTGAAACGCACATATTAAAAATATTGCTCCAAGATGTAGGCAACACGTAATAAGGGTTCAAAATAGCGGAGTTTTCTATCTCCTTTTAAAAGGCACTCAGAAAGCTGCGCAGTGCGACCATTCTCCGTATAGTAAAATAAAATCAAAGTATGTGGTATACCGACTGAAGGCGCCGAACATTAACTGACGTATCGTGAGTTAGATTCCCGGCCAGGTTAAGCATTTTTTAAATTTTTAAAAAATAATAAGGGTGTATGGTGTGTTAAGAAATTAATAATTTTACTAGTGTTGGTTATGTCAACAGTGCTGATCTCTGACGTAGTGGTCTCAAGTAATTTAAGTCATTGGTCATCGTTATTACGTGAACATGCAATGTACGAATATGAGCCAGAAAGCGACATCTTTTGAATATCTAAAACGTTCAATGCATGTCCATTGGTTATTGTTTAACTTTTATTGCGTAGATGTGCAATGTCCGAATATATTTGTATACTCCACTGGACGTCCATTGAATTAATATATCGAATGGACGGACAAATGGACGGTCAATTTACATTATTTGTCCTGTCTGGGTCGTTTAATTTTGTTGTTTTGTTTTCAGAACCCCTTCCTTCATCGACGAGACACCACCGTGGTACCACCCGTATCTCACTCGAGTTCGGTTACTACGCCACGTCGACACATCGGCCAATCCGGTCGTTCGAATTCCGCACCTGGCAGCTACGATTGGCGGAACGAGAAGCAGCTGAGTATCGAAACGAACTTAGAGTGCGTTCAAGAGGTCAGCGCCGATCAAGGCAAGGACGAAATTCCCGTCAACGGTCGACAAGTGGACGAAGAAGAGAAACGGTGATAAAGTTGTTTTATTTGGCTGCGGTCACTAGAAATGGGTATCAGAGGATGTAATATTCAATAAGAAGAGTTTGTCTAAATATAGATGGCGCTCTTAAGATTATGAACAGAACGATGATGATTGTTGCCTATGTGTATGTAGGTTCCAGCGTTTCTCAACCTTTTTTGGCCCGCGGATTTGTTAAAAAAAAATTGCGGACAGTAAATTGCGTGACAATAAAATTTCTTCGCGGACCACTGATGGTCCTTTGGACCAGCGGTTGAGAATAGCTGGGTTAGACTAGTAGTAAAATACACCCGAGAACAGACATTTAAACTGTAGATATGTTGGTCACAGAACTGATAAGAATTCTGACTGTTGATCACCATAACCTCAATTTTCAGAGTGTGACGAACGAATAAAAATGAGTATTTTATTTTATTAATTTGTATTTGGTTTAAAATTAATTATATTCACATCATTTATGTTCTTTTATTTAAATGGAAGATGATTTGAAAATTAAATTAAATTAACCTGAACAAATAAGTTATACCTAATATATTATACATTTTACTGATTTAGGAGGAATAAATAGCTTATAATACTCACAAGAGCACTTCTATTAATACGAAGAAAAATACACACTTTTACCGTTAATTCTAAAACGTCAACTGTTAAGATAATTATTAGTTCTGTAACCCAAACATGTCATTTCTGCAAATTAGTCATTACAACGATCTGTCAAACAACACCTGCCAATCGTATATCTAAGTCTTGCATCTTTGACGCTACTTTTATTTGAAATATTAGTCGCTAAGTTTGCCATTTGTAAAAAAAAGTACAAGCAGGTTTTTTAAATAGTTTTATCGTGTTTGATATTTAAATGTAATTCATTATTCATGATTTTACGTATTGTAGATAGAATACATCGTATTTCGCAAAACTTACACTGGCAATTCATTTGTTTGGAATGTCTAATTACACGTCTGTCTTCCGCTTTATTTTATTGTAGTCTATGTAGGTAGAGACCACGGTTCGTAGACTAAAACGGAGGCCTTATCGGGGTTGCTAAGGACGTCACGGAATGAAAAAGTGAGTTGACAGAAAATATTCTACTTGGGGTCGTTAATTAGTTTTTTCTGTGACGGGAAAAAAGTTTGACATTTTATCTTTCTTGTCAGGTAACAAAATGTCACTTTTTATGAAATTACTTTTTTCCCAGTTTCCCTGGAAAAAAGTGTTTCCTCGGAAAAAAGTGAGTATTTACGAACCCCAGCAGAATATTTTGTGTCAGCTCGATTTTTCATTCCGTGACGTCACACTTTTTTAGCAACGGACGAAAGAGGCCACCGTTTTAGTCTACAAACCGTGGGCAGAGGCATTTTCTAATATCCAGCAAAATGTGGTAAGTCCTTAATTTCTTAAGAAAGACTGACATTTGTTATTTAGAAACTTTGAAATCTTTAAAGAAAACAAACTAGATAATTAATTCGAAACATATGATGAGCACCTTCATTTTGAAAAGATTTTAAAAATATACTTACATTCTCAGTTATAAATCAATATTAAAGGACAAAACAACTCTATATACAGGGTGTCCCAAAAAGTTACATATACATGGGAAAAAGTTTTTCTTATATTTGATAAAATAATTCTTTATAAAATGTTCTGCATTCCATAATAAAGTATTTTTCCGTCTGAAATATGATCTATTGCTGTTGGAGTAGCAAAACCACTATTTCTGGCAGACCAATGCAGATCATTTTTCCTTTTTATATAAATTAGTTGTGAAATTTTAAATAACATAAATTTCACAAGAACATGTCTATTTTAACAAACAAAAGTACGTGCTTGTAAATAAAATATTTTCAGCAGCTAAAAATTAATTTGTAGGCAACCATCATTAATCCCAGTGTCATACTAAGACTCGAAGTTTTTGCAGTTTTCAAATAAATATATAAGATTTTTAAAGTTGAAGAAAAAGAGGTCATTTAAATCTCACAAAGATATTACGTTTTTTGTCTTCTTCTTAAATTGTGAACTGATTCGAAGTTACATTACTTATTCATTTGGCACACATAGCTAACCGCCTCAATATCAATTATATAAGAAAATCTATTAGAAATATTATTTATTTTTTCTTTTTTTGATTGCTTTTGCTAATGAAATAAAGTTTTTCTTAGATACAAACCTAGAAAGGTATACATTCCCCTATTCTTTATTAGAATTATTTTTATTCAACTAAAAATTATTTTATTTTAAAATTATTAAAAATATGATTACATAATAATCAAAATGACCACCGAAACATTAGTTAAACTATTTTATCTTGTAATAAAACATTAATTAAAGAAATTTAAATGGTCACAATTAAACGATACATTCTCGAAGTATATGTTTAAAAGATTTAGTAATAAACCTCAAAATTTTAATTTTTTAGGGAGAACTCAAAAGCCTGATACTAATTTCTAGTGAACACGACCAAATTTAGTGATAAAACGTACGAATCTGGTGCTTGAATGCTGTTGCGAATTTTCGTCTGTGATTTTATAAAGTTGATATGTTTGTTAATTAAGGAATCTCATGTTTTCAACACTTTTGTGGATCTGAATTATAATAAGTTTTTTTATGGCTTTGATAATCTGAATTTGTAATCAGACTGCTTAACAATGAAATCCACCAGCTTCATCATTGTTAAGAAGCGTTTTCATTGAATCTTTTTTGATTCGTTTTGTTTTTGTTGTATACGTTTATGTATAACGCACATTTTTTTAAATTACTTTATTGAAGACGACCCACAATTTTTTGTCTGTGTTTGTACAAGTATAATACTTTTTTTTACTACTGTAACGTATTTTTAATTTTTATTATTTAAATAACTTTACATTTTGGTACTTACTAAGATAAATTAACAAAATTTAGTTATATTTCAAAAGATAAAAGCTAAATTGCATGGTAGGGTTGTATGTTCTATTTTAAAATAAACTTAATATTTTTTATTTTTTTTCGTTTTGTTTTAGTAATAAGTTTTCCTTCCTACATACATGCTTACTTATTTGTGATGTATTATATAGTGACCGCATGCTCCAATAGATTTTTTAATTTAAACTATGTATATTTACAAGTTTTTTCTACCTCATAAGTCATTCTAATTATTTCTTTATGGATTCGTCAAAATTCGTAGAAATTTCTATGAATATAACAGACTCAAAAATTTATAAAAAAATTTGATTCCATCCTCATAGCACGAAAATATCGCATATTTCTCACTATAACCGTGTACTTTTTAAAGGCACCTCATACCGCTTTACACATAGCTCAATGCTTTCTCTCTCACGTATTCAATCTTATCAATACTAGAAAAAAATTATGTTAAGCAGATGACATCGATGCTGCTTAAAAACCAAAGAACTTGTCCAGGCAACAATAATTCTTACAGAACATTTGTCCACTCTAAGCTCTTACGTTTAATAGGGACTTAAATCCAGTGCCATTAAATCTAAAAGATTTAATAAAAAAGCAAATGTGCTGTGCTCCAAGCAGTAGCGGGTCGTGACCAAATAATTGTGGTTCACAATGACGGAATATAGATCTAGTACAGATTTAGGTACAAAACTTTCAGTTTTTTAGAAAGGTATATTGTAAACACTGAAAGATTTTTACCTAAATCTTTAGTGAGATCCATATTCTGTCATTGTGAACCCCAATATTTTGTTGGTCACGAACCGCCACTAACACCAAGTGCAATTGAACTGCAACATTCTCCACCATAACAATTAGGTGTACTAAATATTTAAAAGTCATCTCTTGATTACACTCTTTTAAAAAGAAAAAAAGCTACCAAAAGTACAATAACGTAAATACGATTTACGAAACTAATGTGTTTGGTTTAACAGTTATCACACCAACCTGATCGATCCCTACCTCAAAAATACGCCTGATTATAGAACAATTTTAGGCCAACACTGTCTTACTGGTTTTCTCTACAAAGTAACAGCTATTATTGCAAAATCCATCCGTACCTGCCACAACATATAAGGAAATCCGATATTACTTCTAGTGCCAACATGCAGATTTATGACATATATTTTCTTATGACTAAATTTATTATTAAATTGTGCTATGATACGTGTTCAACACTTAAGCGCCCCAGTCTGAACGTCGCGCTTTCGTGAATTTGTTGGATACGTATTATAGAAAAGTTTAATAATAAATTTAGCCATAAGAAAATAAGTCACAAACTTGCACGTTGTAGGTAGTACTCATACAGGACGATATACATATCCTCCAGTGAAACTGCAAGCTTCAATTCCTTTATTCCTATTTTCGAAATAATTTTTAATTATTTTTGACGAATCCATAGCTTGCCATATTATTTCAAATTCAATACCTAATTATTGTTAAATTTAACTGATAAGGGACCATGTAGTAATTGTAAATGTGGTAGTTGATAGAAGGAATTTTTGAACTGGTGAAAACTTGATCCTAAATAAAGCTGTATCCATAATTTGGAGGACACTTAATTTTAAAATTTTTAATAATCAATCGTTTTTTAATATTGGTTATTTTCTTAACTTTAGAAAATAATATTGAAAGCTGACATTTTGAAACTGTAGTCACTATAATTATTTGTTTAAAGTCTGTTATCAATATATAGCTAAAAACAAAGGGTAAAATTTAAGATTTACTGGTTTAAAAATTACATTGTATGAAAGATATCTTTAAAAATTATAATTTTTATAAACCAATATTGTCAATATATATGTAGAGTGTTTAATTTTCTACAACTTGTATGTAAGTAACATTTTTATTTTTATTTATGATGTAGGTTATGCAATTATTTATTATTTACTGTTTTATGTTATACTTTTATCAATTATTGTGTGAAACAAAACGGTTTTGATCCAGAGATACTAAAATTCTATCAACTAAATTTAAAAAATACTTATTAAAAATAAAAAGTTTACTTGTACAGTTGTAGAAAAATAGAAGAAGGTGCATATATTCTTAGAAAATTACTT